TCTTCTGCTAGTAAATGAGTATTATTTGCCATTATGGGACTAAATTTCCACTGAAGTATACTCTATAACTGAATTGTTATATATTTCAAATTTTTCTTTTTTGCAAATATTTTAACACTCAATAGTTATGGTTTCCAGGCTTAGTACATAAAAACACAGAGCATCTAATAAAATTTTACTTTTAAATAAACCACAGCTATTTTAAAGACATTTATATTAAAATGACCTCTTTAGTGGACATTCATATTTGGTGGGACATCCTGATTTTGTTTGAGAACTCAAGTTATAATGTGAGAAACATATTTCTCAAGAGTATGCTTATAAAGCAAATTTTGGAAACTATCAATTTAAAGATTCACATTTCAAATATATGGCCAAGCCAGGGAATCAATTTTGTCCTGTGATACAAATGTACAAACAGGTTGAGCTTTGATTTTTATAAAAATATGTAAGTTATCCACAAGAACTAACAATCAAGGGTATGTCCTCAGGCAGCACTGTGTTGTAGCACACAAAGCTGCGGTCTGGACCACAGCATCCCATATGGGCACTTGTTTGAGACCTGCTTGCTCCACCTCTGATGGACCTTCCTGATAATATCCTGTCAGAATTTGGCCCAAAGACTGGGGGTCCTGCAACAAGGGAAATCCAGAAGAAGCCCATGGCTCCAGGCTCTGGCCCAGCCCATGTCTGGCTATTGAGATCTAAAGAATTAACCAACAGGTGGAACATTTCTCTTTGTCTTTTCCTCTCCCTGTAACTAACTTTCATGTAAATAAATCTTAGGAAAAAAAATCGCTCTTGTCACTCTTGGGATTACCAAAAGTATCTTAAAAACCTATGACATGTTATAGAGGCTTGTATCCTAACCCTGACGACTCGGATTCTCACCAAGGACTATCAGTATGAGCACCAAGGACTACCTCCCAACAGACAAGGAGAACACGGGGAATTGGAATGCCTTCGGAGGCCGAGAACTCCGAGGTCACCCAGCCCCGTTTGGATCTACCACATGGGATGGAAGAGGCCCACATCCTTCCTCACAGGACCCAAGGTCATCGGAACAACAGCCAGGAGCCCTGAGAGATCTGCAGAAACAGAAGAACAGCAAACTTCCTTCGGGACTAGGGAGAGAAGCTTCTTCTGGTCCTTACTTAGTTCCAGCTTTGGATCCCCACCCTCTCTTGCAATGACCATCAGGATCACCCCGGAGGCACCCTCTCCCCACAAAAAAATAGAATAGAATAGTCAGAGAAATACAAGGAAAGCTTAGAACCAAACAGGAAACAATCAGCGTGGATCCACATATACCTTACTAGATATGACACAAATATTAGTTACTCCTCACTAGGGTATGGAAGATTTCTCTGCACACTCCTCCTAAAACTGTTCTGCACCTCAACTGTCGACAAAGGCCTGGTTAGATTTATAAGCCAGTTTAAGACTATCCTAAAATCTAGCAAGTTCAGCAAAATTATGCATCAACACAATAAACAGCTAAATACTAAAATGAAAACAGACACAAGACAGCTGAATAGTACTCTATAGCCACTTTAAGGTGTACAGCAGCCGGTGCTGAGTACAAACAAATTGAAGGGTCAATGAAGTAAGCACAGGAGGTGGTTAAGAAATTGCACTGTTATAACATATTGGTTACTCAATACTATGTCAAACAATTCTATAATGTTGTAAATTGTTGTTGATGTTGTGCTGGGGCTTCTAACTGATCAGGAGGAGATTCTGCCAGCTCTACCTTCAGACCAGAGAAGGTTTCCCCAAGAAACTGTTGAATTTATCTAGACAATAAGATGCTGGACTGTATGCTTGGTATATGATTGCAACGAAAGAATCTTGACTTAATTTGATCTGTAATACTGCAACTAGGTGGAGGAATCCACTAAGGGGGGAGGGCACAAGGAGGGGCTGGGGGAATCCCAGAGCTTATGAATCTGTGTCACATAATGCAACATGATTAATAAAACAAAACAAAACAAAACAAACATGTTACTAATTAAGATTTCTTCTTCTTTCTCTTACCTTTATCAAGTGTTTGATTCCATTTTAGGCATAAGTTAAAAACTTCTGAGTTATGGCTTTAAAGGATTTGTATCTTATCATTTGTTCTACCTCAGTTTTTTTTATAGCAGGACTAATTTTATTTTAGTTTCAACTTATTTTCATGGTATTTGAAAAAAATTGGTATAATCTTATTCTAGAGTATAGAAAACCTACAAAACTGTGTTGGTCAAAAGATATGATCCACTAGTAAGATAACCTCTGCCATATTAAAAAATGAAAAAGATTGCATTTACTTTAGTCAGTATGGATAAGTACGTTCACCTAATCACCTAACGTATTACCATGGTGCTTTCGAGGAACACGTGAGTAAAGGGAGATGCTACCAATATTTTCCATTTTTATATTCCTTAATCAAATATCTTAAAAATTCCAGTTATACTTTTCTTAAGATTTTATAATAAAAGAAATATGAGAAAGATTTCCACTTCAGTGTTCATTTCTTCCTGTAAATAAATGTTGAAACTTTTCATGTACTTAAGTCCCTCGGTATACTGTACATTTTTTTCTGAAGTAACTAAAATGTTCTCTTTCATGTTCAAATGAGTATTTAGTTGTTTAGCATGTTATATTAATTTATCAAAAGGGGAGGAAGAGAGCGACTATCAACCAATGAAGGTGTCTGCCCATTGCAATGCTGGCATCTCCTACTGGAGTGCCAAATCCCAGATGTTCTGCTTCCAACACAGCGCCCTGATTATGTGCCCCAGGACCCTGCTGTACATGTGGTCTTGGCTTCAATCTGGCCCAATCCCAGACACTCGTAGCCACTGGGGAAACGTACTAGTAGATGGAAGATCTGAGTTTCTCCCTGTCACTCTGACATTCAAATAAACAATTATTTCAAAAAGCAAAACAGATACAAAGCTGTGATTGAGCTAGGATCTGAACTCAGGTGGTCTGGTTCTATTGCTCATGATCTTAACCCATTCTGTCCTGCCACCCTACATAATGGACATCTACAAAAATATTAATACTAAATATACACTTATGCTAATTAAAAAGTATATATATGCATGTTGGGTTCTATTCTGAATAAAGTAATATAGATTAACAATTAGAGTATTTGAACATATTTTAAATTCATTGGAAAAATGACATTTTTTTAAAAAAAAGATTTATTTATTTTTATTGGAAAGTCAGACATACAGAAAGGAGGAGAGACAGAGAGGAAGATCTTTTGTCTAATGATTCACTCCCCAAGTGGTCATAATGGCAGGAGCTGAGCCAATCTCAAGCTAGGAGCCAGGAACCTCTTCCAGGTCTCCCACATGGGTGCAATGTCCCAAGGCTTTGGGCAATCCTTGACTGATTTCCCATGCCACTAATCTGCCTATAAAAATGAAAACAGGATTTGCCACCAGTGTTTAGTAAGAACATTATGTATAAAACTGGAAAGGCATTCAATTTGTTCGATTTGAAAATGCATAATCCACATGCCATACACACATATATATATACATGTGTTTGTGTATGTATTACAGATACATACATACACATATATATGTTGAAATGTATATTTTTAGAAATGACCAGGAAAATTCAAATAATACTAGTAACTCATTCTTTGTTTACTTTGGTAAGCTGGAAATCACAGGAAAACACCCATAGGGTACTGAGAGTATTTCTGGTTTCTAAAACTGGCTACTTTGTTCAAAACCAAAAAAGCTAAGGTGATTGTCTCAAATACAAAATAATAAGATTATTCTTATTTATCCAAAAATAATCTAATTTAATTAATATTTGATAAGTTAGAAAGCTAAGAGTGATACTTTTAACTGGGGGAAAGGAAATGTTTTAAGTAAATCCAAAGCATTTTTGTTTTTATTGTCGCAAAAGGAGTAAAGATTTTGAACACAGGAATGGTAGGATCTCAAATACAGACTATGCTATAAAAATAAAAATAAAAATCAGATTACCCAGTAGGCTTATTTTTCTAGAAAGTGTTTAATGTATTCAAATACATATTTTTAAAACATAAATATAGATATATGTAATATTTATATCTTATAAATAAAATATACAATTGTTATAAATACATTTATAATATAATATTATATATGTAATTTTAAGATATTTTGCTTTATTTCTTTGTTTTGTGTTCAGGGAAATTTATTTCTTGGGTAACATTGAGTGTGTCTATTGTGAGCAGTAACTTGTTCCTATATAAAAATATAGAGAACAGCAACAGAATTAAGAGAAGAGATGGAACCAATGAAATACTGTAGGGAAAGTAGGATTTTTCCATCTGAAAGTTCCTATAAAATTGTACAGACATTGCTACAGATTTAGGAATATCCAGCTAAGATTTGCATTTCAGTTAACTTTTTCATCTTTTTAACCACAGCATCAAGCTTAGATTGTAGTTGCTCTCCATATTTCTACATTTAACCTTTCAACTCCTAAGTTTTCAAATTCCTTTCTCGTGAAGACCGTTATACAGCCTAACTCCTTGTCCTGTACTGCGTGACAAAATTTCTTGGGAGCTTCATGTGTCGTCTTGGTGAGGATAGTGCTTCCTTTTCTCAAACTGTCCAACAGCCAGCCAGCAGCTGTGGCTAGGAGCGAGCAGAGTTCCAAGTGACGTCTATCTTTGTATAAACACATTCTCAAACACCTTCCCAAGTGCCCTTTATGTACTCCCCGACGCTGAAGAGAATCAGCCCTGTCCTAAGCAGGAGGGCAACTATGTCACTGTGCCTCGGCCTTTACCCTTGGGCTGGCATTCCCGAGATGGAAGTAGACCACAGTATGCTAGCATGGCCCAGATTTGTGTCTGTGCTGCTGGTTCAGCAGAAGGGACACAAGGAACCACCAGCCCCAAGCACTAGAGGCTCCGAAGGCCTGAATAATTATTTTTGCAGAAGTATTAAGAAAATCTCATTATTTAACAGTCATATTCCATTTTAGTGATATATCTGTACCTGGTAAGTCCGAGAAGAGAAGAATGCATTCGTTAAAGCCATTGGCCAGAAGCCGGTCCCGCAGCTGCTGAAGAATGGCCACTCCGATACAGAATGGGAAAGAGGAATTCCCAAGTAGCAAGGTATCCCACAGGTGAAAAATTTTGTGCAGTGGAAACACATCTGTAAAATAACAAAAATACATGTAGGCTAAAAAAGTAAAATAACAAAAATTAAAAACAACCTATTTACAAGATGTCCATGTATGATTATTTCATTGTGGTCAGAAGCATTATTTCAGACCAAATATTAATATACTATTTTAACAAGATATTTGCTTTGTAAATTTACAGCTTAAGGTTATATAAAGGCATCTTAAAGTTATATTTATATTACAGACTCTAAACAACTGATTTATAAACTTTCACAAAGAATTTTTTTTTACAATTTTCTTTTCCTTATATAATGGTACAGATGTCTAACCTTGTCAATCAATACAGATGAGCTTTAAATATTACTGAATTTGGGCCTGAGATATTCTAGCGGCTAAAGTCCTCACCTTGCATGGCTGGGATCCCTTATGGCCGCTGGTTCATGTTCCAGCTGCTTTATTTTCTTTCCAGCTCCCTGTTTGTGGTCTGGGAAAGCTGTCAAGGATGACCCAAAGCCTTGGGACCCTGCACCCACATGGGAGGCCCAGTAGAAGCTCCTGGCTCCTGGCTCCTGGCTTCAGATCAGCTTAGCTCCAGCCATTTTAGCCACATGGGGAGTGAACCAATGAATCTAAGATCTTTCTATCTCTATAAATCTGCTTTTCCAATAAAAATTAATAAATCTTAAAATATTACTGAATTTATCATCTGCCATATTAAATAAAGATGTCTATGTAATAGTACTATAACTAATTGAAGCATTACATTTGTATGTAATCTATTTCGTTTCCACAGAAATAAAAGTTCAGGGGAAAAAAACTTAGTTATTAGAGATTATCTAAAAGTTAAACCTCGCTTGTAAAAGCTGTCTTCAAAAACTAAGTATTATAGTCGCTATTTATTTCATTTCTAAAATGGGCCATAACATGTGAAAGACTCATGACATGTAAAACCGGCTTTCATCCTACACAATTCTCTTTTTGGTATTCAGACATTTGGAATTATTTCTTATACAATTCTTTTATGTCAAAATTACATAAAGATATCAGATATTCAGGTTATTATGATTATAAAATATTAGGAAAGAATGGAACTATCCTTTGGCCAATGAAACAGCAAAAGACAAAGGAAAAGGATACTTACGTGTAAACATGGTCAGAAACCAAGGGATGGCATAGAGCTAGGGGTAGAAAAAGAAAGGGTTCAAGGATGAATAAAAAGAGTAAGAGATAGCCAATGCTTACCAATAGTATGGAAGTTAAGTTCTGTTCCAAACTTCTATTCATTAAGAGAATGTAGGTTACAGCAGTTCTCACACCACTGGACAATGTAATATTTATCTATACGGAAAAGTGGATCATGCTTCTCACAGACTCACTCACCAAGTATCTTCTCTTCATCAAAGGACACAGTGAAAACCATGGGGAAGCTGAATTAAATACTAGGATGCTGATTCACGCTGCGTTTCCCATCTAGCCCCTGCTGATGCTCCTGGGGAAGCAGCAGCCAAATTCTCCAGTGCCTAGGCTCCTGCCCTGTGTGGGGACCTAGGAGAGGCTTCTGGTGCCCATCTCTCGTCTGGCCCAGCTCAGGTAGCCGCAGTGGACCAAGAGGTGGAAGATCTCACTCTCTCTCTCTGACTCCAATTACTACAAGCAAGCGAAACAAGGCACGTGTTTGGCCAGTTACTACACCCTGTCCCATATTAGAGTACCCCAGTGAGATGCTCAGCTCCAGCTCAAAAACCCAACTTCCTGTCGGTGTAGACGCGACAGCCAGCAGGCCATGGCTCCATGACTTGAGTCCCTCCATATGGAGAACTAGCTAAAACCAGAGACCCCAGGTTTCCTGGCTGGTGCAGGCCTTAGCTCTGTGGGTATCCGGGGATTAATCAGTGCAAAGACGGGCTGTGTAGATCTTGACTGAATAAATGAATGAATGAATAATAATAATAAAGGTGAAACAAAGATTATTCTAACAATGTTTTTAAAAATTCATGTTCAAGAGCATATAATTAATATAATACATTAAAATTCTATGGGCTCACCAACACCAGTCACCAATTACAAATTAAAGTTCAGGAAAATAACTAGATAATGTGTAAAGCTATATTGTTTGTCCTTTGTTCTTTATCTTTCCTTTTTAAATTCTTAATTTATATTTGAAAATTCTCACTATATTGGTTCAGCTTTACAACTGTGTTAGTTACAGATGAAAGATCAAAATAGAATAATATTGGATACAAAGTAATTTTACTAAAGAAGGCACATATAAAAACATTTATAGCTGTTAGTCTTGCTAAGTTAGAGGGATTATTAGCTACTTGCAGGTTTAAACTTGTAAACTGAAACCCAACTAGAAGAAATCATACACGCTTCCAGTATTTTCCCCAGATCACAAGGTTATGTACACTTGATTTGTCACAGAGCTAAACTGCCTGTCAGCTAGGTAAATACTGCCCCCTAGCAACAGCAAGCATGAACAGCAACATTAGCATTTCATGAGGCTTGTCTCAACTACAAATAGGAAAAAATAAGAGTAGGGGGGTTCATCTTGATCCTGAAATCAGAAAATTGGGGCTTAGCAACTTGAAAATGTATAAAATTAAATCATTTAAAAGAAAATGCTTCTTGTAACAATATGGGTATTTTTAAACAGTTTTATCAAATGAATTTTTGAATTTACAAACAAATACACTTTCTCTCCAGGTATCTATCTGTATGCATAGATTTTACTATTACAAAAATAGTTGCTTTTCATTCACTTTTAAAATTCACCTTCTATAACAATGTTTGTTAACTGTGAAATATACATGATTTGGAAATTATTTCTAAAATAACCTATAACAAGGGAAATAAGTAATAAAATGAAGAACTCTAGATACATTGCCAAAGCTGCCAGCTGGGAATGTTACATGTAATGACTTTAAAGACTTTATCATGAAAAATGTGAACTTACTGTATTTAAAATTCCCAACTGGTAGCTTTGGCAATGTGATACAGAGTACTTATAAATAACACTATTTTGTTTCATTCATATTTATATAAATACTATACATTTTAGATAAAGAGAAGTTGGAAACTATGAACTCATATTGGTGGAAAATACATTAATTATATATGTTAATAAAGTAGATAGAAATCTAAAGGTCCTCATTTTATTATTTATTTCCCCTGTTAGCAGGTTATTTTAGAAATAATTTCCAAATGATGAAGATTTCACAGTTACTAACAATGCAAAAACATCTTTTGCTGCTTTTACTTTGTTGACAGTTATGCTAATTGTGAAGGAATTGCACTGATGAATTACATTGCTGGGACAGACGCACAAATCAAGGCAGTGACATTACAGAACTATAACCATACATTTGTGAAGGAAAACATATCAGTTTTACTACATATGTCCACATGGCTGTGAAGTAACATCAGTGGCGAGTACTCGTGCTTTGTCTTACAGCACAGGCTGCTGTCAGCAAGGGCCGGTGGGCAGGCACCTGTGCTGCACAGCAACTTAGATCTCTGCCTTCACGGAATGCCATGGATATTTGAAAGGATGATAAAAACAACTACGTTTGAGACTTGCCCCATGGGCCAATCTTGGTCAAAAATGAGTCAAATGAGCTTGCTGGTTGAAGAAAAAAACTGAGCTGTCAGATGAAGATTAAATTTTTAGAAAACTGTGAACTTGAACCTGAAAACTTCCTAACACTTAGTGACTTTCAGGATGAACTTTTTGAAGTACTATCATAGAACAGACATAAACAAAAATTCTTGGATTTCCTCAATAAGTTTTAAAAACTGAGACCCAGAAAGTCAGAGTACCGATGCATCACGCCATATTTCCTTTCACCTGTCTCTCAGAGTAAGGATATATTAGGTTAGAAACAGTCTGGGGTGGTAAAAGGTGTAAGCAAAGAGTTATTAAATGAGAAAACATATTAGCTCTTAACTTGTGCACATGGTTTTTAAAGTAATAAATTATTAAATCATTCCTGATGGGATAATAGCCTCTGGTTTCCAACATCTTGGCCCTGAATGAAAGGTAAACAAGCTTTATCACAGAGACCTATTATGGCTTGAGTAATAGTTTGGGTGTCCCCCAAAGGGCCATGAGTTATTGATCCAAGGAGTCTTATGATAATGGACACAGGATGGAACATAAGCTAATTACAGTGTCTGAAGTAGGGGCCATGGGAAAAGATATGATTAAATTGCTGGAGCACAGCCACGATGATATAATCATAGTGGTATGAGCTGAGGGCACACAGAGGTAGACCGAGTTAGCACTGCATGTCTCTTTCAGCTTCATGGTTTGACATGTAATCTTTGCTTCTGCACATCTCCGCCATATACCACTGTTATAAGACATTGGCCACCTCTCTGGTAACCTGTTAAACCAGAGTAAAAATAAAATTCCCTTCATAAGCAGCTCCTTTTAGGTATTTGTTGCAATAAGGAACACTAATATAAGATCCCGATTTGTGAAAGGCACTGGTGAAACTGGAGGCATCTTGCAGCACTAAATACATTTCCAGTAAATGGAATACTAAGGATATGAATAATTTTGGTCTTGATGACTATTAGGTATTCCACCTGGTCCAGCAAACTGTGCCTTATGCTCCAGCATCCAACCCAAGGAGCATATCCATTGGTGGGGTCCAAATAAACCACTGCTTTACTACTGAAACACTTTTAGAACTTAATCCATGAGCACTGGATATGGAAAAGAAAACCAAAACAAAACCAGGCCCAGTCCTACACTTTTTGCCATTGTGTCAGTGAAGCTGCCAGTAACAAAGTTCCAAAATGCCACTTTGTACTAATTTTAAAAATAATCCCAGCTTATTCTTTCACTTGGTGGAAAAATTGGTGGCTTGCATATTTTATTTATTTATTTTAAAATTTACATATTTATTTTTTAATTGTAAAGTCATACACAGAGAGCAGAAGAGACAAAGAGGAAGATCTTCCATCTGCTGGTTCACTCCCCAATGGCATCTCAGCCAGAGCTGTGATAATCTGAACCCAGAACCAGAAGCTTTTTCCAGGTCCCCCACGCGGGTGCAGGGTCCCAAGTCTTTGGGCCATACTCAACTGCTTTCCCAGGCCACAAGCGGGGAGCTGGATGGGAAGTGGGGCCTCAGGGACACGAACTGGCACCCATATGGGATCCTGGCATGTGCAAGGTGAGGACTTTAGCCACTGGGCTATTGCTCTGGGCCCAGTTGCTTGTATATTTTATGAAGAAAATGACTTTTCAAACCTTTACATATAGATGCAACGAATGACTAACTGCTGTAAATCCTTAAAAAGTTAAAAGAAGTGAAGTCAATTTGGTTTGTTTCTTATTTTGATTGGAGAAAACTTAAATTGCTGCGCTTCACAGTGAGCCATGTACATAGCATTCTCAGCTCAGACTGGAGGAGAACAAATACATGTGGTGAAATGCTGGGTCGGTAAGTGGGGAGACTTTAAAAGCCTTTTGTTTGAAGAGCCTTACTGTATCTCAGAACAGCAGAATGGGGTGAGGGCTAATGTTGGGGAAAACAGAGTAGCCACCAGAGGTCACATCCCAGATGGAATACCACAGGGCCGCTGGACCATTAGTCAAAATGAAGTGGCTTTTCCTGTATTATTTTGTAACTGGATCTTGACAAAAGTTAACTAATTGTCTCCTCTTCAGTATTGAAACATATTTAACATAGTATCATCATGAAAATCAGAAATGAATGACTATTTCCAGGCAATTCTTTCAAATTTTACCTTGGTAAAAACTTAGCTAATTTACATTTAGAAAATAGTAGTGATAAATGTATTATGAAGGAGAAAATTAGTTCTATTGCCAGAGTCCTTTCAAATCAGTTAAATGACAGTTTTTTTCCCAGCATATCTGAATTTGTTAGTTTTATTTCTAGCCATGACAGTGGTACACAAGACAAACAGTACTGAGATAAGCCTTTATCATCTCTCTTAATGGCCACCTGACAACCTCTCAGAATTTTCAAGATGAATGCTATTCATAGCTTTTCAGAAAAATTGATCCTTAAGAATGAGGATGCATTACTTTATGCTCTCATTTAAAAGTCCTAGTGTATTTTCAGAAGTAGAGACACACACCAATACAAAAATGATAAAAATCACTCTGGTTCCAGTTTTGCCAAATACAGATTACTTACCCTATTTATATGTAAATCATATAACTACCATGATATATATAATCTAAGCATCACATCAGTGCACAGTATTCCTAACTATTCAAGCTTTAGCAGTACTTCAATATTCAGAATTCTGTGACCCACAGCAAATGGGAAGGAGCCAGAAAACACAATCTCTCCTGTAATGGAAGTCTGCATTTCAATGAGGGAAGATTAATGAGGGCTTACTTTGATAGGATTAATTCCTGGGCCAGAAACTGAATTTGGGATCTCATTATCAAAGTACTCAGTCTTGCCCTTGATGGATCCTAGCCTGCATTGCTGTTAGAGGCATAGAAAGTTACTGCAACAGTTATTTTAAAGATAGAATAGTTGCACAAAATTCTGCAAGGGCACAAAAGGATGCTGCATATAGAAACTGATTAACTGTAGCTAAAATGTCATCGTTAATAGCTAAAAAGAAACCTTTGCAATTCACAACCACTATTCCTCATTGTTTTATAATCTTCGCATCTAATACACAATCTGTCTATAAAATTGAATTTTTAATTTCATATTATGTAGATTTGAGAAATGTTCTAATAAAACATTAAAAATGATAAATTTTCCATAAAATGTTTACCTTTCTGTGTTAAATAACTCATCTGCAGACTTACTGTGACAAGAAAAGGCCTACTGTGTTGCAGCATATCCTGTTAAGCCATAGATTGCAACATTGGTATTCCATATGGGAATGACAGTTCCAGTCATGGCTGTTCTATTTCCAGTCCACTTTCTTGTTAATTTACCAGGGAAGACAGGAAGAGTTGGCCCAGGTACTTGGGTGGGCCCTGGCTACCTCGTGGCAGACCAGGATGGAATTTCCTACTCCTGGCTTTGGGTTTGTCCTGGCCATGCTGACTGAATTAGGATATGAAAGATTTCTTTTTTTATGTCTCTCTATCACTTTGTCTATCAAATAAGTCTTAAAACTAAAAGAAATTGGCTGCAGATGGGGTATTTTTTTTCTCTTCACGTTTTCTCTATTAGGTTTCTCTACAGTGACAGGATTGTTTCTAAAAAGAATTTTACATTATAATCAATTTCATAGTAAATTCCTTAGCAAATTCTTCACCTTTACCCCTACAGTTTAATGTAGTATTGTATTATATTATAAATCACATTTATGATGTGAGGCATGCTGGGATATACAAAACTGAACACTTAGTATGATATTATGAACACTACTTAAATTTTTACAAGGTTTCTTTTATAGGCAATTGGGGAGTGAATCAGCAGACAGAAAAATCTCTGTCTTACATACACACATTTTCCTCTTCTTGTATCTATGCCTGTCAAATAGCATTTAAACATTTTCTATCATTTGTTTAGACAGATGCATATGGACAAAAAAATTTGTTTAAAAATACACTCTTTTCTTTAGGGCCAATTTTCTGCTTTATTTTTCATCTCCTGTTCTATTAACGTAGCAAGTACTCACATCAGGAATAAAGCCAATCTCATTGAGATGATTACTCAGCTCTGGGTCGTGGAATGCAATCATCTGAGAGAACACAGTCAGATATTCTGAAATGAAAACAAGGTTTAAGATAAACATTATTTTTATGAAGTCATTACATTCAAATATATTTATATTTGATTTATACTCTGAAAGAGATTTAATTTTTGCATGAAGATATTTTAATGAACAATTATCTATGTTACTAATCACCGGTAATGACTAAATATATAAAAAATTGCCACAAATCATTTTCTGCCTTTAGAGCCATTAGTTTATTTTGTAAGTCACAAATTATAAACGATGCTTTCCTATTAAGCAATACAAACACGGTTTCTCTAATAAAATTTTAAATCTTTCTCACATTCATTGAACGCTCCAAAAATGCAATAGGTTCTTAAATCAGGAAAAATATTTGTAAGTATTCACAATTACAATAATTTTGCCTCAAATTTGTTCACATATATGGATATAGGCATCTCTTCTAGTTCTAATTTATTTTCATCTAAGGAACCACATCTGGAATAATTAGAATAATTAACATTATGCCAATCAGAAGGCATAACAGGCAATTAAAAATGTCTTCCATTGATTCTAATCTTGTTCTCATCCACAGAATTCAGTTGAAATTTTTTCCCCATTATTTTAGCAAGCTATTACTTTTGCCAATTTATTCATTATGTATGAATCTAAACAAAATGGTGCTAATAATCTACTGAAGATCAAATAATTTTTACTCATTAAACCCACAAAACTTTTATTCCCTAAAAAACATAGAATTGTGAGCATTTGGGATAGTGGTTACGGGCATGTGTATACTGGAATGCCCTGGTTCAAGCTCTGGCTCTTTTCCTAAATCCAGCTTCCTGCTAATGTGCCTGGCAGCAACAGCATTCCTCAAAATCTGGGTCTTCCGCACCCAGACGGAAGACCTGCACTGAATCCGCAGCTCCTGCTTCAGCCTGGCCTCACTTCCGCCACCGTGGGCCTCGCGCCAGTCAACAAGTGGGTACCGATTCTCTTTTCAGTCTCCCTGCCTCCAAACACACAGGAATAAAAAATTTAAAACAAAACAAAAAACCAAGACAAAATTTGTATGTATTGTATTAAGCTTAAGTTTTAAAATTTTCTAAAATGGAAATATTATCAGCCCAGTAATAATTTCTGCTTATTAATCTCAACTCTTTTTCACTTTAGTTAGAAGTGAAAAATAATATATGCATACTTTTTCTTTTTTGCAAGCTTTTTGTTTGTACTGAATCAAGAAACAGTAGTGAATTCTAGACAATTCATTGTTGCAAATAACCTTTCCTTTTTTAATTAATCTTACTTGTACTGGTTACATTGATAGCAATTTTCTTATAAAGCAATGATAGTCAGAGCATCACATCATAAAGAAAAGGAGATCCTGCTGTAATAGGACACATAATGACAAATTATATGTCCAGACCTATATGAATTTTTATTTATGCTGGATAAAGAATTTTTGGGGGCCCGGCGCAGTGGCGCAAGTGGTTAAGGTCCTCGCCTTGCATGCCCAGGATCCCATATGGGTGCCGGTTCTATCCTGGCAGCCCTGCTTCCCTTCCAGCTCCCTGCCTGTGGCCTGGAAAGCAGCTGAGGATGGCCCAAAGCTTTGGGACCCTGCACCCACGTGGGAGACCCGGAAGAGGCTCCTGGCTTTGGATCGGCATAGTATCGGCCCGTTGTGCTCACTTGGGGAGTGAATCATCAGACGGAAGATCTTCCTCTCTATCTCTCCTCTCTGTATATCTGCCTTTCCAATAAAAAAATAATAAAAATAAAATCTTTAAAAAAGAATTTTTTGTACTTTATACTTTTTTCATTATTTGGTGTTTGTTCTATTGCAATGTATCCATTATCTTCCACCTGTTCCTTTCAGAACAAGAACAAAAAAGAACAATTTACATCACCTTCAAAAATTAAACACTGAATACCCACACATACGCGAAGGCCCCAGGGAAAGTTTTTAACTACTTGTTCTTTTTTTCAATTAGTGCTGGTATGTTAATAGTCTCAAATTACCCAGAAACCAGGGGTATATAACATCAACAAGAACACACATTCAACTGTGTTTTTATATAAATACATAGCTATTAACTTCTACAAGCATAATTCATTTTAAACTGGTTAATTCATGCCTCAGGCCATTCTCCACAGCTATGCTCTCGTTTATTATTTATCATTCTTATTGGAACATAAGAATATTACTATGTGGAATTTCACAGCTAATTAAGGATCTACTGAAGAAACAGTCGATCATGAAAACATTTTGCTAGTGTTCTGCCAAACATTGATGGCTGGATTTGTATATGTATTATAATTCCACATACATATGCAGAACACACAAATATTCACATTTATATTATAGATTTCATACTACTTTACTTATGTCAATATAATTTATAAAGCTTTAAGTTTTAGTTACTTAGGATAAACTTTCACATGCTGGCAAATGCTTGAAAGCAAACTACTTTGAAAGCGTGTTGGTGGCTGATGGGGTCTGCAGTCAATAAGATGGTTTTAATGCTGAGAAGCCCTCAGAGTAGAACTTTGGGACTAGGGGACACAGGTGTTATTCATCTAACATATCAGTAAAATGTCCTGTAAAAAAATAATCTCAGAGAAGCCTTGCAAAAATAACCAAAATTGTGGCAGCACCAAAGGAAATAGTCACTAGCCCCTGAGACCAGGAAAATATAGCAGATTCGTTGCTGTTGTTGTTGTTACATTTCTCGCCCATGCCTTCTCCTTTGGTCAGCTTTGGTTTTCTTATTTGTGAAATAAGGAAGCCAGTTCTGACCATCTCTTTCAATTTTAAAAAATTCAGAATTGTATGCTGGACTCAGAACCCTAACCAAGAAAAGAGAGAAGACAAAACAGGTCAATCAACCATCTCAGCTATATGTTGGCAGTGAAATACAGGGCAAAAAGAGACTCTATGATGGACTATGTCAATCAGTGGATTCTTCAAAGACCTCATACTGCTTGGAGTGGCAAGATTGGCAGCGATTCATAACTGGTGAACTATCAAAACCACTTGTGCCAAGAACCTTGGAGCATACCCTACATGTGGGACCTGGGGAGGGTGGGAAATTGGGTGGGCCTTCTGCCTTAATACCCCCCTTTAAACATGAAGGAAACAATATGGAAATAATAGTCTTACCCACTTTCCTACAGTCCTTCAACCTTTTTACCTAATTAACTATGTAAAGATTGTCAAAATTATAATAAAAAAATTGAGAAATCTAAAAGATCCTCTCAAAACCTTTCTGAAGCGGACTGACATAAATGATCAAACAATTTCTGTACATATTGCACACCTGACATTTTTTCACTTTTAAGTAAATTTCGTTTTATAAATTTAAGAAAATTTTACTTTTTATAACTTTATTTTAAAGAAAATTTCTTTACTTCTGGGTAAAGAAATTACTCTATCACAATAGAATGAATGAAACTGGTACCATGCCATATTCCAAGTTATTTTTTAAAAATTAACTAAAAGTCTCCTAGAGTAAATAAAACATGTCAAAATGCATATGTTCTTCATTTATAAGTAAAACTGATAGATTTTAAGGATAGCTACAAGCAGACATTGATCAGATTCAGAAAGGATTCCATGGATAATATTTTTTATTCTTTTTTTAAAGAGGTATTAAATTCTGTCAAAGCATTGTGATTGTGATTTACACCATATGATGACAATATGAATCTTGTTAAAATAATCACAGATAGTATTCTATAACCAACAGGTAAAAGATACTTTTGAAAAGAATATTTATGAAAATTTCCCATCAAAGTTAAAATGTAGTCATATCTAAATATAATTTTTCACTTTTCATTTCATTTTTAAAGATTTATTCTTTTTGCTTGAAAGTCAAAGTGACCTAAAAGAGAGAAAGAAAGAAATCTTCCACCTGTTGGTTCAGCTCCCCAAATCTCTGGAGCAGCTAGTTTTGAGCCAGGTCAAAGCCAGAATCCTAAGATGCCATCTGGTCCTTCTATATTCAGCGGCTAGGCCCAAGGGGACCAAATATGTGGCTATCTTTGTGCTGCTTTTTGGGGACATTAGCAGGGAGCTATATCAGAAGCAGAGAAGCCAAACCTTGAACCAGTACTCTGATATGGATCTGGTGTCACAGATGGTGGCGCAACAAAGCATTACAATGCTGACCCCAATTTTCCACATTTTAATACAGCCTTGTACTTGAAAAAGAAAATCGATTGTTCTTTTACCTTTTAGGCTAATAAGAGATCTTCTTTCCTTTAAAACACCTTTTCTTACTATATACTTGAAAATGACAATCCCCAATCAACTCTGCATAGTACTTTCACAAGACACTGTCCTATTTTTGTAGCTGTTACAAAATACAACACAACAAAACAAACCTCAGGGATCTAATGCAGAGATCTGATTTCAGAGTCCTGCTTGTGGACCTTCTTAAATTTTCCTTTCTGTTAAGGTTTCTGTTTTCAGTCTGTTAGTTGGAATAAGGACAAGAAGAATGGAAGATGATAGATATAAAGCAAATTACTTTCTGTCCAAAATTAGAAATGGTATTCTCACTTGTGTAACTGTTTGTTATTTGACACCTGGCTGCTAGTGTATCATACAGATGCTAAGGTTAAGTAAAGATGAATAGACAGACAGCCCTGGGTCTCGTATCAAGCAATAATAACTAAATCATTTAGCGATATGTTTCACTGACTGCACTCAAAAGTAGCGAGGTACTTGAATGCAGATAAACTCAAATTATTTCCCAGGACAAAGTTTTCAGAAAATTTGGCCTACTTACTAAAGGACAAGCACTTCCTTTAAACTAGATATGATAGGGGGCTCAAAAGAGTAGAAAGGAAAAAGATCTTTCATGCTACATTTATGAGCCATTTCCTTTTTTCTCTAATTGAAAGGAAAAAGAAAGTAAAGCAGACAAAAAAAGCAATATCTCTATTAAGAATATTTTCTGTTTCAAGAAAAGTCTCCTTTGCCACATTTCACAAGGCATTCGTGAAAAGGGCAATAAAATATGCTCAATGTGTTCATTAC